AGTTGTCTTCCCAGTTTATTTAAGAGGAATATACAGACCCCATAGAACCGATTCATGATCTCTGTGGAAACCTTGGAGATCTCCGCAGCTCAGCTATGAGCCTTGAGAACTGGCCTCTAGAGACAAAGAGATGCCCGGAATGAGCCTTTAGTCTCAGAGGAATATGCAGCTCTTTCCTCATATAAAAGCTAAGCAACCTGTTGAGATGAGTTGGATGACTTCTAAGGGAATAAGAACTGTGACACCTGATTCCATATATTTTACACATGAAAACTTTGCCCAAGGGCAGAGACTCACAATAATAAGCCAGATCTTCTCTAAGGATGATTGAGGCTTTATGTTTTGTTTGTTGTTTTTTTCCTGAGGAGGAGGGCGGTTACCACATACCAGGTATTGCACTAAGTATTTTACATCTATTATTTCATTAACTATCACAATAACACTATAGGGATATGTTTATGAGTGAGAAAAATTCTGCCTGAATTAGCCAAGTGATAACTATTAAATAAAAACAGGGAAAAACCAAGTGTATAAGTCTAATGAATTTTGCAATAATCAGGACAGTGAGTATCTTAAGGACTGATTTAGATGATATATGTCCTAAAGTTAGATACTTAGATATACACTGGGTGACCAGATTATTATGACCACCTGACATTTGTAGGCAACTTTGCTATAATTTCGAGCTGAAGTTGCTAGAGGGTCAGATCATTACAGACGTCTGAATAGCACAACATACCTAAGTATTTTGTTGCTGATCAATTTCATCCTATCATGTTGATGGCATATCCCAATGGAGATGGCTTCTTCTAACAAGACAATGTGCCATGCCACGGTGCTCATCTTGTGCAGGAGTTGTTTCAAGAACATGAGGGAGAGTTTACTTTGCTTAGGTGGCCCCCACAATCACCTGATCTCAATCCAATTGAGCATCTGTGGGATGAAGTTAAAAGAGCCATCAGGCAGCTGGTTCCACAACCATCATATCTCACAGAACTGGACAGTGCTATTCATCAGGCATGGTGTCAGATTTCTCGCATCACCTTTCAACATCTCATGGAGTCAATGCCAAGAAGAATCGCCACAGTATTGAAGGCAAAAGGTGGCCCAATGAAGTACTGATGGGGTGGTCATAATAATCTGGCCACTCAGTGTATATGAAGCACATCCTAGTTCTTCACACCTCATCAGGAAAATTGAGTCTACAACCTGCATTTTTTTTTCATAGCCTTAAGTATACATTTGTCATAGTACTTGCCAAATATTATTGAATTATCTTCTTATGTGTTTATGTCTCCTTAACTTCATTGGCAAGGCTATGAGTTACTGTAGACTCAGAAAGTGCAATGTTTTTTGGTACATGTCCCTTGGGCAGTAACTGGCCCACACTAAGAGCTGCTAAATGTATACTTTTGAACTAATCTAAAGTATGCATATGTGGTAAAGCTAATTCCTAAAATTGGACCTTTGGAAAAATTCAATCCTAAAGCAATAGTTGCAAAAATTTTTATTTCCTCTTTCAAAATGTTTCAGTGCTATTAGATAGATTTTAGTGTTCAATAAATTTATTAAATTCGGAGCTGCTTAAAAATTGTTCTAAGGACACATGGGAAAGGCTTGTCTTATCAGTGGATACAGGCCTGCAGATGGAATGTGACATCTTTGAGAGTCAGTAGGGAAGAAGGCTGTGACAATGTAAAAACCATTAGAAACCATCTAGAATTTTACACCACAATTATGTATCCATTGGATTGTCAGAGAGAAGTCGTAAGTGCCAGTACTTATAAAGTTCTTCAAATCTCACAAACTCAATATCACATTTTTCCTTAAAGTATTTCTTAAAATACCAGTGAGTATCAAAGAATGACTCTGTAAGGAACTGGGAACACAGATAGCTGATTTTCACATTGGCAGGAAGAAAAAACAGAAACCAGAACTAAAGTGAGATTGAGAGAATAAAAATTGGAAAAGTAGAAGGAAAAATTACACTAAAATGCTAGGAAAATGTTTCATTGTGTTAAGTATTTTAATTATTAACTATTTGGTTGGAGAATAAAAATAAAACATGGCATTTTAAAAGACTGTATTACTTGGTCAAGATAGATAGATAGATAGATAGATAGATAGATAGATAGATGATAGATAGATAGATAGATAGATATCTTACATATAGAATATGTTAAACCTATGTAAACAGGAACCATAATTCCTAATCAGCAGTAGAGGATTTCTTTTGAATTTATCACTGACCAGAGTAAGAAAGTAATTAAAATGCCATTCTACAATTTGGATTGAAATCTGACAATATTTTCTGTGGTCATATGTAATGGTTATCTAGAGTTCCAGGTACTTTAGAGTTTTAGTGGCCTGTTTCTGTCCTGCCAGTGGAATACAACCCAAACCCTAAATTGTCTGGCCAGAGACTAGAAAGGATAGCAGAGATCAGTAAGAGGTGATATTGTGGGTGTTGTTTTGATTAAATACAAACCATTCATTTACCCTCTATGGCCGTTGTGTAAAGTAAGCTTCTCATTCCAAACCTAATTTTTGAACTACTCACTGTTTCTAGCTTATTTCCTCTTAGAGCAATCTTTTAAAAATTGTGTTAGTTTCTTCCTAGAGAGTTTCACAAAATATAATAAAAATGGTTCTTGTTTTGTCTTGCTTTTTACATACATTCTTTTATTTTTTAAATCTTATAATGAATGGCTCCTCCCATTTTGGAAAGAATCAGTTAGAAAGCCAAGGAACATGGTATTTTTTGATACCAGCTAAGCTAAGAAAAAAGTCATGTGACCACAGAGGGACTTCATTTAAAAATGTGTGTGTATGTGTGTGTGGAGAGAGAGAGAGAGAGAGAGAGAGAGAGAGAGAGAGAGAGAGAGAGAGAGAGAGAGAGAGAGAGAATGAATGAGAATTACCTAAAAGCATTTTATATTGGAATGCTGGTATTTGTGGTGATACATTGTATATCAAATACGGCACCTCTCACAAGCTTTGGATCTATTGTGAGTATGGGTAATGCTTGTTATTGGAAGAGCCTGCAGATCCCTCATTGGCAGCAAAGTCACCAGAAGTAGATGCACCTGTCTTTGAAAGCTGGGATTTGCTCATGGGAAAGAGGGTCATTTAACACCATGTTATCCTGATGGACAGCTGTATATGTAAGCTTCCTAGGGTGTAGAAGTCCTAAATTTTATTTAAAAAGCTTTCACTATTCCAATGAAATTTGACATGAAAATTATTTTGATGTTTTGATTCAGTAAATTTAGAGGATATATACGCTCGGTTTAATAGAAAAACATTGTTCAGTTTGCCTTGGTCTGATCACTCTAACAGCTTTTAGTGATTCAGTAAGCACCAATATTTTCAGCTCAGATTAGCTGAAACAGAATTTCCTGAGGATGAGGCCCAGAAATCAGGATTTTAAAAAGATTCCCAGGTGATTCTAATGTGCAGCCAAGGTTGAGAACCACTGGCTTAGTGGATAGAGTGTTGGCCTGCGCACTGAGGGGTTCCGGGTTCAGTTCCAGTCAAGGGCATGTACCTTGTTTGTGGGCACATCCCCAGTAGTAGGTGTGCGGGAGGCGGCTTGATGTTTCTCTCTCATCCATGTCTCTAACTCTCTATCCCTCTCCCTTCCTCTCTGTAAAAAAATCAATTAAAAATAAAACTTAAAAAAACCCAAAAAACTGTTGTATGCCTCTCCTTGAAAGCTTTATTGGTCTCACCTCCCCCAGTCTTTAATCACTTGCTCATAAGAATTCCAAAGACATCTATAATAATGAAAGCATAATATGCTAATTAGGACAGAGCCAAACGACCTTCTGGGCGTCCTTCCGAACATCCTTCCGGACGACCTTCCGGATGACCTTCTGGACAAAGCTGGGGCAGTGAGGGCTGAAGCAAGCCACTGTGGCTGTGAGAGTTTAGAAGTACCATTCAATTCATATAATGGTACTATGAGCCCTCCATATGCAGATCATTTGACAAACCAAGCCAGTCCATAGGGGCACATTTTAGAGCAGGTGACATGGCCAGTTTCCTGACTTCTCTGAGCTAAAGCACTCTGCCATTGCTTTCCCTTATCCTCCAGGCTGTTCTGTGGGTACACAGGTGCCACACAGACTGCAAAGGTTAAGAAAAGCTCTCAAATTAAGTATTTCCACTACCGAAAGTCTGCTTTAAAAGATATTTTCAGCAACACATAATTCTTTGGAGGGTAGAGGGTGGTATTTGGGTAGAACTGTGAAGGAGGTTTGCAAAGAATAGTAGTCAATTTGCAGGCAGCAGGAAGAGGCTTGCCCAGTAAAGCCTGCAGAAGAGGGATTCATCGAATTAGAGCAGTTTCTGATTGACTACCAAAGCCAGCTTTTTTATTTATTTATTTTTCTAGTTCCAAAAAAATGCCTAAACCTTTGTGGTGAAGGAAGGCTATCTTATAGAACATGCTGGCAGAGCACCCTTTGTCCCTGGCTCAGGTCATATTATTATAGACCTGATGGGAGTTCTTTGGGCTCCAGTAGGGATTTTTAGGTTAAAAAAAAAATAGGCATTGGAGATTAGGAACCAAAATGTATTAGTAAATTTCATAGTAAGTAAAGCAATAAAACAGTCTTAGTGAAGCCCCAGTTAGGACTGTTTAAACCTAACAACTTTCAACTTCTATTGCAGAAACATTTGTTTTTACTATGAGATAAAGAATAAAAATGTGATGGAAGGAAAGTAAGTCAATAACAGTGGGAAATAGTTACTCTGACATTATAACAGGCAATGACACCATTCATTCAAAGGTGGATAAGGGGGAAATTATAAATGATTTAAAGCAAGAAAATTATTTTTAAGAATTATGTTCAAGTGCTGATTATTTTGTACAAAATAGTCTCATGCAAGATATGTGGAAATTTCATGAAATGCCAAAAAGATCATCTAAATAACTTCAAGCAGAGTTAGCCGAAGCGTACCAAGAAGTTTATTTATATATTTTTTTTTCCCCTTAGACCTGGTAGAGGCACTTCAAGAACTTCTCAGTCCTGGAGGGGAGGGATTGGGTGAAGATACCGATGTTTTACCCTGAGACAAGTAAAGAAGTTTTCATTATAAGGTAACAGCCGATTCCTACTTTTGGTTTGTAGACTTTGAAAATTAACAAAACTGCCCTGGCTAGGCATTGTACAAGAGACAACCGATCAAATTTTCTCTCTCACATTGATATGTCTCTCTCTCTCTCTCTCTCTCTCTCTCTCAAAATATATCCTCTGGTGCGCATTTAAAAGAAAATGAGTAGAACTGTGATGCAAAAATAGGCAATATTATCAGAAGTATTAAGGGCACTATAAATTTGGTTAGAACTTTGTAGTAGTTCATGCTTTATACCTTTCCTGTGAAGTGTTCAGCAATAATTCCTTGGCAAATATTATCCTTGTGTGGAGTAGATGGTATGTGGGAACAGTGGGAATTGCAAAGCACCAGTGTAGCCATTGGGATTCCAGCGTTGTTGGCAGAGACTCTCCCCTGAGTGCCTCTGCCCCTTCTCTCCTCCTGCACTCGGTGAAAATCTTCTGGCTCACATCCCGGGCAGCTCCAGGGCTAGAGGGATTGGATCCTGGTACATCTGTAAACCGTTAGCTGGAGGAGCTTAGCTGGGGAGCAAAGGAAGCTTTCCTTTTTGAAAGTCCTCCAGCGTCGCCTGCTGTTTGTGCATCTCTATGACTGGACTCAGCATTAAGAGATTTTCTTAGGAAAAGAAAAGATACTTTGGGTCCTAAATTTTCATGTGACATCCATTTTACCTAAAGGTTTACCAGTATTTCTGATTTCAGTAATTCTATTTCAATATTGAGAAACGTACACTGAGAATCTTTTCCTCCTTCCTGTCCGTTAGCTTTCTCCTGAAGGACCCAGGGGGCATCTCAACTGTGGCAGGACTCCTTGTTGCCCTAGGGCTCTGGGGAAGGTGACATAGACAAAATCTGCCCCAAGGGTCAGTCACAGGACTCCCATGGTCTGAGGTAATTGTATAGTGTAGGCCTCACTTTAATACCAGGTATTTGGTCTGGTCTTGCTAAGTCCTGGTTTAGTTATAACTTAGTAGTCATTCAAAAAATGATTAAGGGGTCAACAGATGTGGGGACTGACTCAAACCCATACTGAGTAATGCAGAATCATAGGTTTCAGGCTAATGGGGACCGGGTGCTCTCTGGTATTTGTCCTGTGCCTTATTCTACTGTTGTCACAGCTACCACCACAGTAACCACCTCAAGAATATAAGGTAACAATTCAGATGCTCAGTGGTCTCACCATGGAAAATGCCCTTTGGTCACAATTCTAGAAGCTGTCTTCTTTTGCCAAGATTTTGTCCTGTTTTGGTTTGGGTTTCATAACCTGTGTCTTATGTTTTGCTTTCTTATTTTTTTAATTAACGGATTTTGAAGAGCAGTTTTACGTTTACAGAAAAATTAACTGAAAATTACAAACTTCTACATACCCCTCCCCCCAAACACACGTAATTTTTGTTATTAGCATATTTTATTAGTGTGATACATTTGTTACAATTATTGACATTATTATTAACTAAAGTCCATTACATAGGATTCAGTCTTTGTATTCTACATTATATAGGCTTTGAAAAATGTATAATGACATATTTCTGTTGTTATTGTGTTATACAGAATATTTTCACTGCCCTCAAAAAGGTCCCGTGTGCTCCCTTATTTGCCCTTCCCTCAGAATCCCTGGCAACCCCTGATCTCTTTACTGCCTCCAGAGTTTTGTCTTTTTAAGAATGGCATATAATTGGAACCATACAGTATGCAGCCTTTTTGTATTGGCTTCTTTCACTTAGCAATATGCTCTTAAGCTTCCTCCATGTCTTTTTGTGGTTAGATAGCTCATTTTTTTTATTGTTGAATAATATTCCATTGTGTGGATAAACCACATTTTGTTTATTCATTTTCTTATTGAAGAAGATCTTAGTTGCTTCCCAGTTTGACGGTTATGAAAAAAGGTGCTATAAACATTTCTCAGCAGAAGTTTGTAGGACATGAGTTTTCAACTCATTTGTGAATATACCAAGGAATGGGATTATGTTTAGTTTTGTAAGAAATCGCCAAATTGTATTTCAAAATAACTGTACCATTTTCTACACTTATCACCAATGAAAGAGAGTTCCTGTTGCTCTACATTTGTTGTTATCAGCATTTGGTGTTGTCAATGTTTTGATTGTTAGCCATTATATTAGGTTTTTAATACAATTAATTACAAAGGAGATTTGACTGTCCAAAAGTCTCTGGACACTTAGCCACTAGAAATTTCTTCAGTTTTTACTTGGTAATGACATTGAGTAAGTATATGAGCTTTCCCTGGCAACATCCACTGTGGTGATGCACTTGAATGAGATAAATATGTATGTATACCTGCATGTATATGTGTATAACTACTGTAAACCAAAATTATTTTTAGACTGTAATAACAAAATTAAAAAAACACATTTATTTGAACAAAGAGAGCTGCAGCCCAGAGACACAGACTCAGGTAGCAACCCAAATTGTGCTCTATCCAGACAAAGGGGAGACTGCCTTTTATAACAAAGTATCTGCCCAGGTTCCCAATTAGGTTCATTTTATGTAAATGGGATATCCAAATTTGTATACTTCTGATTTGTTTGAATCATGCAATCCTGATTGGTCAGCATTATTATGGAGCAGTTCTGATTGGATAGGGCAGGGCTTAGTCTATTGATGGAAAGAAAAAAGTAGGAACTTCTTAAAATCATTGACTTAGATTGTGTAAATCAGCAGAACATAGTGCGAGAAGCAGGGAGTGTTCAGTCTGAGGTTCTTCCCAGTAACCAGAATACGTGAGAAGCCCCTGTCAGCAAATGGCCATTAGGCTCTTATTACTTATAAAATTTGGGCCCTCAGTTAACCATGGGGAGTCCATTTCAGCAGATAAATTTCTTCTTGGGGTTGACATCAAATGAATCTTTCTCCTTGGAATTATTTACATTACTATTCTCTACTATAGAAAGATGTCATAACAGGCAAAGACTATTCTAATAATACACCGTTAAAATGAAAACATGCAGAGTATATCAAATATATTTTTGTTTCTAAAAACAAAATGTGTGCATTTTATGGATCCTAATATTAAAACAGGTCATACTTGATGTTATTTAAAGCTAGCTTTTTGGCATGAACAACAGTGTTTATTATATACAAGCTACATCAAATTAGTCATTTCTAATTTTTGTATGGAGTTAAATTCAGCCATGCAGCTATAACCACAGGAAGAACTTCTCCATAATCCTCTCAAATTACAGTAATTTTTCTTTTGGCTTGGTACATGTTTCTGTTTAGATTTGGTTGTATTGCTTTATAAATAATTCTTATGAGATAAACTTTCATAGTAGACGGTTATTTTCTCCAATGTAAGGCCGATTCCGTTCATATTCCTATTTTTAAAACAAATGTTAAAGAAAAAAATTTTATGAAAATGATTAAAGAAAGAAAAGAAGACTTTCTTCATGAGGGACTAGTGCAGTAGATAGAGTTATACAGTAGGGAGAGAGATTGGACTCAACTCTAAATACAACTAGGACAAGTGGACAGTTATAGCCAAGGAGCACTGAGGGAATCAGTGGATTGAAAATTGCTAAGAGTCTGGGGGATCCTTGTTACACTGACTCCCCAGGATTCTTATTGAGGGCAACCAGGGTAATAGCTGTAGGGAATGGGGGATGGGAAATGTGATCAGATATCAAGTGAGAGAGGATTTTCCCTAAAGTGAGGGCATAGAATTCTCGCTATAGCTGGATTAAGAAGGCCAAGAAGAGAACCCCAGGTCAGAGTCTAGTAGAGAAGAGGATCCAGAGGAGCTTGACCGATAAAATAGACATGTTCTCTACTTTGTAAAAAAGATGCACTCTAGTGGAAGAAGGATGGAGCAGAGAAGAAAAGAAATTGGTGATCACAGATTAAGTTTATATACAAATTTTATAGAGAAGTAGAATGATACAGAGGTGTATTGGCATTGGATGTACCTTAGATGTAGGTTCCTAAATCATTGATATTCTGGTATATGGAAGACTGGCTTTTCAAACATCAGTATGCATAAACATTATCTTGAGGCCTTGTTTAAATGTTATTCTCTTAGACCCCACACCTAAGCGTTTGAGTAATTTGAAAGGTCCGTGATCCTTCAGTTTTAAGAAGCACCCAGATTATTCTATTACAGGTGACCTGTAGGCTACACTTTAAAGAACACTGATTTGTACCATTTATACATCTCCTCCCTGCAGTGTGGTTGATGTTAGAAAGTACCCCTGAGAATACGTGATAGTTGGGATCAGGCCCAAATATAGGAACCAAGACAATGTGCCAATAAAATTGAGTAACTCCATGGCTCCTTACCATGGTGTAGTTGATAGAGACATTCTAAGAATTTGAAAATGAGAAAACAAACTAATTGGAGAGACCATTGCAAAAATTGTGTCCAAGGTTAGGACAGCTAAAAAAGAAATGAAATGCATATTTTGTAAATAGAATAAGTATTTTATAAATAGACAAAATACAATTATTTAAATATTCAATGAATTATTTATTTCAAAATTATCAGTTATGATATTCACAGTTATAGGAGAAATGACAAATACCCAAGAGGTCCAAAAATGAGAAAATGATTAAATTAACCAGAACTCTCATCCTAATGGAATATTATTTTCACTGCTTTGAAGAATGATGACATTAGGAAGTATCTAACATAATGTCATGTCAAAAGAAAAATGAGAATCTATAGCTATATATGATATATGGCTCTTTCCATATAAAATATGCTTTTGAAATTTCAGGCATTTTGAACTCTAAAATTCTCTTAGGTATTATATGGTACTCATAAATTCAAGTGCTAGACTCTAAATCCTAGGTTAGATGATTTAGTAATATTAGGAATCTGACATTTAGTCATGAATCCTTATTAGTTAAAAATAAATAATTTTTCAGGCAAAAGATGTTTTGAGATTATGCTACTATTAGCTCCAGGCTAACTATCTAAAGTAGTATCCATCCCTTCCCTTAGAGGCCAGGTCCCCACCCACATCTGGCTAAT